TTGAGATTCAAGTAAAAAAAAAATAAAAATAAAAATCAGGCCCATGCTGTAATAGATTAGTTTTTATATTTTGGTTTCTGTTTTGAAGATATTCTACAGCTGGATGAGTGTTACGTCTTATAATTAATAACATGGTTAATGTTATAAAGAGAATCAACAGATGTGTAGATTTAGTTTTATTTACTACTTATTCTTTTTATAATTTTGTTGTAGTTTCCTTGTTTTGTATTTCTTTGTATTGATTAAACTTTTTAGACAAAATGTGTACCGTAGTTAAGTCATTTTAACCTTGTTTTTATAAGCTTTGTTTTGAGACATAGACACTTTATCGCCGTTGAACTGTACATTTAAAATATAAATATATAGCAAAATTTTGTTGCAAGGGTCCATTAATAATAAAATAAATAAGCAAAACATAGTGAGTGTTGTCCAGGGAGAACAGAAATGTCAATGTGCATTGTCCCAACCAAACATCTTAAAAGTAAATTAAATCACTATTTTTTTATGTTTTAACCTCTGGTCTTTCTGTGCAGCTGAACAAAAATCCAAAATGAAAAGTTCAACCCTTAATTTGTTTTTTAGAGCCACAGCTCTTTGTTGTTCAGGAATGGGGAATGTTGCACAGAGGCATGCACACATGCATGTGTGTGTGCGCGTGTGGTGTGTGTGTGTGTGTGTGTGTGTGCGTGCCTGTGTGTGTGTGTGTGTGTGTTCCACTGAACTTGAGTAACCTTGTTAGTTGATGAGTCGATTCTACAAAGTCAATACAACTATCAGGGTTTCCTTAAATTGTCCTATAACAATTGGCTTATGACTGGACTTGACCATATTATGATATAGATATTATAATAATAGATATTATTATCTGAATCTTTACTCTGTGACTGAGTTTCATTGGATTGGGCTGCATCAGAAAGAACTAGGAAATTAAATATGTCAGTAGTTCCCTGAGCAGGTTTGCTATTGTATGCATATGAAGTAGATTGAGTTTCTCTTAGTTGCTGTTGAGTACTATCAATCTACATTACCTGCTTTCTGCTACAAAAAGAGATACATTCTCTGATTTTAATTGGTTGAATTGCAGGAGAAGGCGGGGCTTGACCAGGGAATCATTCCTACAAGAACCAGAACTGCATGTATATTTATATTTCAAGCTACAAAAATAAACGGTGATTAATCTGATTAAATATTTTACTCAACTGACAATCCTATCAGTAATATTAGTGATTATTTCTAGCTTTCTAGTTTTAGCTTCATTTTGATACCAGCACAATTCAGATAATCCCTGTAGTTTCTGAGATGTATAAAAATAACTTTTGGCATGACGTTTTGAGCAGCTTACACTGCAAAACACAAAATCTCACCAAGTAATTTTGGTCTAGTTTCTAGTGCAAATATCTTAGTGGACTTGAAATAAGACAAAACTAACTTGGAAGCAAATTTTCATCAAGATACAGGAGCTTGTTTGAAGTAAAAAATTCCTTAATATTGATTTAAAAAGTACTAGTTCAACTGGCAGATTATTTCAAGGGAAAATGTCTCGTTAAAAGTGAAATAATCTGTCGATGGAATTGGTCCTTTTAAAATCAATATTAAGGAATTATTGGCTTAAAACAAGCTGTCATTTCTTGCTGAAATTTACTTGTAAGTTAATTTTGTCTTTTAAGTGAGCTAAGATATTTTTCCCTAGAAATGACTTGGTAAGATTTTGTGTTTTTGCAGTGTAAGGGGTTAGCTTGAACCTTTTGTACTTAAGTATAACATCATTACGGTTTTGCTCCTGTAATGAAGCTGAAAGGTTTTAATGAATAGCCTTGCGCTAACAGAGCTAGCGTCGGTTGTAAAGCAGAGCAGCAGCTGGCGTTTTGTAGCGTTTTGCAAATTTTTTTTGGGTGCCATCTGGTGTTCAGAGTTGAGTTGGACACATTAAATGCAGCAGCGATACTTCTGCCTTGAACATGAACTGCGTGTGTGTTTGGACTGGGCCGTTGTGACTGCGGTCCTGCTGACCGCCGCGTTAATTATCCACTTCTCTCTTTCTCTCTCTCTCTGAGCCTGGCTTTGTTTGAAACCAAGAAGACTAGTGTCTCCACAGTAACAGTTACTAACGGTTACGCAAGCTTGACAACGGCAACCCGCGATGACCCACATTCCAGCAGTAAATCACAACACACACACAAACACACATTCCTGACTCCACCCGTCGCCGCCGATCGAAACTGCGCTCAGCGTTTCCACTCCAGCAAACAAACGAGGGAAAGAAAGTGTTGCTGTGTAGAAAAATGTAAACATCTCTATCAGTTTCCTGCCTTTTCTTGCATTTTTTGAGTTTTTTTTTCTCACTTTCTGAATACATCGGACTCCATAACGCTCCCGTCTCACGTTAGTTCAGGGTGTCCAAACTTTTGCACCGAGGGCCACAACTGTGAAGCTAAAAGCAGCCGTGGCAACAAAAATTTAGTATTTTTTGTTATGAAATGACAATCTAAAATCTAAAATGATTCCATTGTAAAAACAAACTAAATATGCAATATTTTGATGATGTTTTTGGAGGCGTTTCTAGGCTAAAAGACCTCGATCCAACTCTCTCCCTTTCTTTTTTAAACATTCTCATTTAGCCTGGTTTCATAAATGGGTGCGCCCTCTTCCTACTTTCAAGTAAAAGTTGCTGGAGGCAACAAATAATTATTTTAGTTATCGATTAATCAATTTTTCTGACAGTCAAGTAAAAGTTGCTAGAGGCAACAAATTATTATTTTGGTTATCGCTTAACCGATTTTTCTGCTGATTAATCACATAAAAATTGGCACATGCGACAGATCTCTCATTTAACTAGAGTTGTTTTTTTTTATAATACAAATACATTAAAATCTGCACATGAACTCCTTTTGAACTGCCTAAGACAGAATAAAATTGTGTATTTTTTGTACAGTTTTGGATTTATTACTGCTTTGTGTGTTATAATTTCAACAAAATGGTCATTTTTACACAGCGTATAATCTAGTTAACAATTAATCGATTACTAAATTATTTGAGGGGTATTAAATTAATCATTTCAGCCCTACTTTGTACTATCAAATTAAAATGAAGGCAAAAAAATGAAGTGGACAGAAGAATATTTTGATTTCTCTTCGGCCTCTTTTCACTTTAATTTGTTTTAAGCACATAAAGCTGTGATATTTGTGAATTGTGGACCACACAGAATCTTTCCTAGGGCCACAAATGGCCCCTGGACCGCATTTTGGACATCCCTGCCTTTAACTGTTGTTCAAATGCTGACATGGCGTTTTTTAATTTAATATTCAAATTCTGAGGAAATGTGTCCTCGGATGACTTCCTGTAGATTCAGGTTATTTCCTCTTTTAATTCTTTCAGACTTACTTCATGCAACAAACCTGCGAAATCAGATCTGTTTTTCTTTGGTTTTCGATACCAGATAACGCTCGCATAAGGAGAATGGAATGCTGGGAATTTGTGAGACGTTTCTGGTGTCGTCTCTGATGAAACATGAGGTCAAATTTTGTCTTTTTTTTTTTTTTTTACTGCTGTGCGCTCCGGCGGCATCAGAAAACGATGGCGTGTTTACGTTTCAGGCTTTTCTGCTCCATTGCTGTAGGAGCCGAATGGCCATGTTTGAGCTTGTATCTGTTTGTTTGCCTGAAGGAGAGATTTCCTTAAACAAGCGGCGCAAACCAGAGGGGGGAGAAGACGAGATAATAAAGTTGAAGCGGAGTTAATTGATTCGATTTACAGGTCAGGGAGGAAGTGGGCTTTTCCTGGAAATTACTGTCATTTGCTTCTAATTACGGGGAAAATGGAGATTTCCTCTCAAAACGAACTCAAGAGATTTAATTCAAAACAATTTAACTTTAAATTGTCCAATTTAAACCTGTAAAGTTTCTGACCTGGTTAGTTTTGTTTGAGTTTTTAATTCCTCCTTAATAAAAGTTTAGCTTTTGTCCAATTCACTTCAAGATTTTTCTACTGAAAAAGAGTTGAATTAAAAAAAATAAACTCATCTGAAAATGTCAACAATCACAGTCCATACATGAAGGGGAGTTTCCAAAATGTGGTCCGGGGGCTATTCATGGCCCTGGGATGATTGTGTCTGGAACTGTTTTTTCTTTTTTGTTGTTGTTTCAACTCATATTAGACATTAAAATTAAACAAATTAGACAAAATAATTGTGGTATAAAAATAATTTACCATTTTCCATTTAATTTGGATCTCTTCAAATTTTCCAAATTGCAATCTGTCTGAAAAAATAAGTCTTTCCATTCTTTATAACAATTATTAGTCTTTAAATAAACTTTTCATTTTTTATTTAAATTTAGATCACATTTGTTTGACTTCTACTCAAAAGTTGACTTTATTTATTGAACTTGGCTAAAGCAAGCATATTCAACGAAACGGTGCAATAAATCCTGATTCTGCTGCTCAGAAATTACATGTTTATTTTTTCAGTGGTTACCTAAAAATTGGCTGCATATCTTTAAATAAGTTAAATATGCAAAAGCCTTTTTATGCTTTTTGTCTGTAATAATTCAAAGACGTTTCTGACTATTATTTTATTTGTTTAAAGTATTACATGTTTAGTTTATTATTGATTAGATAATTTTTTTTGTACAAGTCCTTTTGATTTCCCCATTTTGTGACCATGTGACCAAAAGTTTGTCTTGCATGGAATGTGGCAGAAATCAAACATTGACTTTGAAAGAGCTTTGATTGGTGAGAAGCAGCTTCACCATTTTCCATATTTTCTACATCCTAAACTTTTTTTTTTTTCAATAAAAAATCCTCCATTATGGTTATTATCTTGCAGCACAGTCTGACATTAACAGTTTAGGTTTATTTTATCTGCCGGTTTACTTTTTTCTTTCATTGTTGTCTAATTCTGCATACAAACACAATTGTTGTAAATTCTGCTCGTGTTTTTGCAGTTTCCAGTCTAAATAAACACATAATGGACGCTGCGTTTCTTATGCTTTTTTCCTGAAAAGGACCTGGAGTTCCATGGCGTGATGCGGTTCTACTTCCAGGACCGGGTGGCCGGGAACTTCGCCACAAAGTGCATCCGGGTCTCCAGCACGGCGACGACGCAGGACGTCATCGAGACTTTGGCGGAGAAGTTCAGGCCGGACATGAGGATGCTGTCGTCGCCCAAGTACTCGCTGTACGAGGTCCACGTCAGTGGCGGTGAGTCCTGTGGGCCGCGCGGCTCCCGGCTCAGACAGCCGACTGCTGCATGAACCGCTGGCTTTATGTTTCAGAAGAGCGCCAGCTGGACCTGGACGAGAAGCCGCTGGTGGTTCAGCTCAACTGGAACAAAGACGACAGGGAGGGACGCTTTGTCCTGAAGAACGAGAACGATGTCCTGCCCAAGGTGAGACGCATCGCTCCGCATCGCACCACAACATGCTGCATCGCACCACAACATGCTGCATCGCTTCGCATCGCACCACAACATGCTGCATCGCTCCGCATCGCACCACAACATGCTGCATCGCTCCGCATCGCACCACAACATGCTGCATCGCTCCGCATCGCACCACAACATGCTGCATC